AATTCATATGCTACACTTGATTCTATCGTAAATGGTTCACTATAAAATTATAATTTCTAATTTTTATCACTCAAAATTTGCTGCCTAGTATTAAATCGAAAATGTGAACGTGAAAATGCACAAAAAGTATAAAAAATAACTAGGTTCGAACAATAATTATGTTAATGTATACAATAATAAAGAATTACTTTACGTTGAACATAAATTTCTCTAATACAAAAAAAATATTGAATAAACTCCTTAAAATTCAATGATATAAATATCCACAACAAGATTGTTCTTCGATAAAATATAGACGTGACATTTACCGCTAACGAGATTCAATTCAGAAACACAAACATAACAAAAACATAGTATTAATTTTTACTACTATGACAACAGCCAGCGTTACATTCATGAAATGTGCATTACCTATCATGAAAATAATTTATAGATTGGCATCATATTGTTGTGCTATTATATGTGTTTCGGCGATATAAACTATCGAATATGAAATGTTAGCTAATTACTGCAAATATAGTGTCTAAATCACACAATTAACCATAATTAGTAGTTACCTTTTTCTATTGTTAGATCCAGAACGTCTATATATTAAGACTAGGATCGATGATTAATTATACATAAGATGTTTTATGTGGAGTATTAGAATATATTAATTTAAATTTATGAAAATCTCTTAAGTACTTGATTAAATAAAAAAACAAAACATTGCAATCTGTATCTATTAGCTATTTCCATTAAAGTTTCTATAATTAATTATTAAGATGGACTGATCCATAATAACTTCTGAATACATTTTAAAATATTAATATTTTAATCTAACGAGAGAAGATGTCTTCGAAATAACTAATGATAAAATTAATCTGAATTTACAATTTTCCTGTATTTTAAGGTTATAATATCCAAAATACTGGTACAAAAAATCTAAGCTTCGTATCATAGATAAAATAATACAATTAATATGATTGACATAAACAATTAACTAGATAATCCACTGTTGACAATTGTTTTTACGATAAGTTCAATAATTTCGGATTTATGAAAAACACTGCTTACATATAATATGTATTAAAATTTGTATAATCTATTGTAATTCAAAGAGCTGTAACTTAAAATAGAATCTTTGATCCACTCTCATTTATGCTTATGGCGTGCTTTACCGTTCTATAACTTTGGAATTAGTAAACCGAATTTATTTTCTGCAATTTTAAAACATAGTTTAAGCATAATAAACTTTACATAGATTTTTAACAAAAAAAATACTCAAGGTCAAAAATGAAAAACATTTTATATGCTCGTGTATTTAAATTACTGATTTTATAGGTATCAAAGTATTTATTTTTTAGCTACAATGCAAAGCTAGAATGTATTAATTTTACCATGATGTGTTTTTTTTGTGTCTGTTGCCACTTTTTCTCAACTCTCACTAGACCGATTTCTTTCAACAATATGTCAAAAGATCACAAATTTTATCTAGTTGAAGACATTACCCTTAAAAATTAAAAAAAAATTCTTCTTTCCCAAATTTGGAGATTACCCGTAAATGGGGGAACTCTCCAAAAAAATTACAATTTTCAAAATCGGTAAATTTCGTTATTTTTTTCACTTTTTTTTTTTTAAACTTCCATAACTTTTTCAGAAATTAACAAACAACATATTTTTTTTTATATTGAAACCTTAGATATTTCCCTTTTATTTGAAATCATTTTTATGAAAATCTAACTCCTAACCTGCTCACAGGAGGGGATTTATAAATTTAGAAAAATTTTTACGAATAATAACTTACTTTATCACCTTAAGTTTAGAAAATGTTTCAGAAATACTGTGTCTTTTAAATATATGTCAAATTAAAGCTTATGTTACGTACTATAAATTTAAAAAAAAAATTTGTCCCGACACCATATCTTCTACGTGTAATCGTCTGCCGTAGTTAAAAAAAATGCTATTTTCGTGTTAAAATTTTCGTTTTTCGATATTAAATTGAACTTTAAATAACTTTTCGAAAAATATACGTATCAACACAAATTTTTTTTTCTAAATACATTTTATATACCTTTTTCATTTAACATAACTTTTTGTTTAAATTGGACAATTTTGTTTTTTACAGAGGGTGTTCAAAACTTGAAACATATGTAAAAAAACTTTTTCAACTTAACTTTTGAAAATATTCCGGAAATACTGCATCCTTTAAACATATGTCAAATTGAAGCTTACTATAAAAACTATAAGTTAAAAAAAAAATTTGTCCTAATACTTTTTCTTTTATGATAACATGGTCGTCGAATTTAAAGAAAAATGTAATTTTTATGTAAAATTCACTGTTAAGCATGAAATATATTAATACTTAACTGCCATAACTTTCTAAAAAATGAACTAATTAAAATATTTTTTTTTATGTTGAAATTTTAGATATTTTTCTTTCATTTGTTATAATTTTTTTTAAAATCTGCCCACAGGGAAAATTAAAAAAAGCAATTTTTGCACACAAATTAAACTTTTTCAATTATTTTTTGAAAACATTCCGGAAATATTGACACTTTTATTTAATCTTAAATTAAAACTTATATTATATACATTACTATGAAAATATTCATATATAGATAAAAATATGCTATTTTTGTGTTAAAATTCTGGGTTTTGTATTTTAGAATAACTTACAAGGGGAAAACTTTTATGTATAATTTATATATAATTTAATTGACATAGAATAAAGTTCATAAGACATAAGAAGTTAAATTTGTTGTATTTTTTGAAGTCGAAAAAGTAACTTTAAAATTTGAATGAGCTTAAATTGCTAATTTTATTTATGAGTAGAAGTGACGAACAATTGCCGATTTTATAACAATTGTGTCTTTCACAATTAGGGTACCAGGTTCGAATCCGCCAATGGCAATTAATATTTTGATTTTTTTTAAGTTAGAAAAAATTTTCAAATCATTTGATTTTTATTTTAGTTAGACTCATTAAGTTCAATAAATATCAAGAATCCTATCACTGTAGTCTCCCCTCATAAGAAGAAATTTCTTATTCATGTTAATATTATTTTACTATGCGTGCTTTTTTTGTGACTGCGATTTTTTATTCCAACCTTCACTTAACCTACTATTTTCAACGATATATCAAATTATTACAATGCATATTTAGTTGTAGATATTACCCTAACAAATTGAAAAGAAATCTCTTAATTAAATAAAGAGTAGCTTAACCAGCTTTATTTATACAAACAATTAAAATCGTTCATTTCTAATATTTTTAAAATATTTATTGTCGAATTAGATTTGATAAGACAAAAGTATTCAACTACAAAAGTAAATAAATTTATCTTGTAATTTGTTAATTTTTAACTCTATTTGTGTGTGCTACTACCAGACTATAACATTCCAAATTTGTTTGAAACATGTTGTTATATCAATAATAAATCCAAAAACTAATTATTTTTAGTTTCGCCTCAATTTAACAATTGATTTTTACAATTATAATCAAATTTTATAATACACTCAATTGAGTAGATCTTTTTAACAATTTTTTTTTATTGGTTTTTTTTAGTTAAATTAAATCATTAAAATTAATTCAGTTCTATATATTTCAATTGTAGAATCTTTTTAAACACTAAAAGTTAATTAGAAATGATTTCTATTTAAGTGATCTATTACGATAAAAATGCAAAAATAAATCGAGCTTTTCTAATAAATTTATTATAAATAGTAATTATAAGACTTTTTGACTGCATATTATTTTTTACAATACCATTTTTTTTCTATTTAATGATATCAATTTCAAACTTGCAAGTTGAGCTAAAAGTTAAGGCAATAAATTAAATTTTTTTTTATAATAAACTTTGAAAAAAAAAAAGTAGGTGAAAAATGATTACTTTTAACATATTAAAAATCAAAATCAATAATAATTTGAAAACTATTAATTATATAATATATAATTAAAAAATTATATATTATGTATTATATTTTTGAATCTAAGAATTACTTATCTGTATATAATTAAGGAAATAAAAGTTGATGTTGCTTTTGGATTAATATACCAATTTCTTAAAATTAAACACTATCTACAGATGTGCATCGAAGCGTTTCTTATGATAGTGATTTTAATCACTGTCAGATTAAATATATACTAGACCCAACTATGCCACGTTCTTACTGTGCCGCGACACCACCTTGCTGGTTTTTCATTATATTTAATACCAAAAATTAAAAGTATGTTGCGAGTTTAGACTGGAGTATTGAAGTGTTAAAAAAGTAATATAGATAAATGAATACTATTGTATATGTTCTTTTATTATGTGATTTATAAAATTAAAAATTTACTTTATTTAAATAAATACGAAACAGTGTTTAATTTAGTTGAATACACATATTTTCAGTGTAGTAGTATTTTAAGCTAAAATAGCTGTCAGATGAGTCGTACGTGATAGAATATTAATCCTCCTGAATATTAAGTGTATTTCGAAGCAATTCAAAATTCTTAACAAAATGATTAAATCTGTGGCAAAACAATGGATTTTATTACGTTATTAACATTAAAGTGTTAACTATGTAATTATGAGAAGACATCACTAGTTTGCAATAGGTTGATGTTAGTATAAAAAAATACTATACGAGAATAATATTATACATTTTTTGGAATTTTAACTGTTAAATATTCATTATAATGAAGCGTGGAAGAACGTTTAGCCAAAATTTGTTGTTATAAGTGTCGGAGTAACTATAAAAGATCCGATTAAAATTCTCTACTATCTATGCGTTTGCAAAGATAAGAAACTGATGCTATAAATAACAATTAAGTGCAGACACCAAAGAAATATCCAAGAAAAATACAGCAATCAAATTATACACTATTTTATATGTATTGTATGGGTGCACTTGCATTTCTAAATAAAATTGAGAAAAACTATATTGTTTAATGAATTATACTCATAAGCGTAGGGCGATGAGAGTTTGAAAGTCTTAGTTCTCTCAGAAATTAAATAAAATAATATCTTTTGTTACAAAATAAATATTTATTGGCGGCGAAAAATTAAATTTAACTCCCCTAAAAGAAATTTGATCACACTATGACTATGATCATACCTCTCTTTTATTTCATGTGATTACACACTTAAAATTTTGTATACTTAGTACGTATAAGACTTAAAATAAAGTTAAAAACTTATTATAGTAAAAAAAAACTCATTAATTATTATTTCCTGTTAAATCAGTCTGATACACAATAATAAATTGAGCGTACATATATAGTTTTATAGATTAAATTATTGTTTAAATATAAAAAAATAAGAATGTTAATATGACAATTAATATGTACAAAATTACTTATAAATAATAATAGATACAATTATTAAACGTATAATGTATTAATATACGTTTGACCTTATACAAAATAAATAAGATTAGTTACACATTAATATAAAAACTGCAGTAAGATATATACACCTAAAAAAACTATTATAAATAAATAAAAGGACGCAAGTTGTATTTTTTTGTGCGCATGATCTAACAAAACTCGTTGAACACTTGTTGAGACTATGTGCGCTTTTTCCCCTGTAAAAATAAAAAAAAGAAATATTTATTATTCTATAAGATATAGTAGAAAATTTACTGTAAAATGTGAACAATTCATGTTGGTCATGAACTTAATAAAAAGAAAACTGCTTGTCTCACCGATAATTTCTTACATTTTAGTATCTACGGAAAATTTAAACAACGATTAGTGTCAACATTTTAAAATAAAAATATATCTTATTGAACAGCTATGTCGCAACAATTAGTAAATCTCAGTGTGACATTATGAGCACGATAAATTGTTAGTGTGATCACTACAAGAATATAACCTTAGTAGGAAGTGGATAAATAAAAGATTCTTTCTACTAAAAAAATATTAGTATTCATTACACAAATTCGAAACGCATTGAGCCGCTGAATGAAACACAATATACGACACACTCATAAAAGGCATTGAAGCTCCCTTGTTTGACGTGTTTTTTTATGTTTCTTTAAATTAAAATTTCTGAAACCGGTAAAAATTAATGTACCGTTAGGGCGCCACGCGTGAAATATAGTGTTATTAGAAACATTTATTATACCAGATGCATTAATGTTGTGTTAGTGGGGACAAAAATTTAGCTTATCAATGATTCTCCAAGAAAATAATAAATACTTTGGATGATATTTTATCTATAATTACATTTATTGAATTTTTAATTGGACAATGAATTTTACTTTATTTAAAAATAACTTAAAATATTATAAAGTTCTTAAAACATTGATGTTACTTCTAATAAAAAATCTCGTTAATAGTTTTATTTAAGCTGACCTTGCAGTTTAATAGGTTTGAAGGGCTAAGCTCCAGTGGCGGTCAAATGGTATAATCATTTAATGGGATTAAAAACATTTATGATAAAAATCATAATGGAAACTATGTTCATTATCCCAAAATTTTTTTATTTGCATTAATCATTAGTTATTTATATCAAGATGTTATTAAGCACTCAATTGTTCAACATAGATAAATTATGGATTTAGACTATAAATGGCTTTCTTCTTATTAAGGATATTTCAAATATTTAATTTATTTTAGAATAGTACTTTGTTGAATTTATCTACTTGTTAATTACAATTTAACTTAAAATTTATTCACCTACATTTGTAGGATTAATAATTTTTTCATATTCATTATGTTAAATAACTTAAATTGAATCATAATATATTAAGTTTTCAAAATATAAAATATATGTAATGAAAATTGTACAAAAATATAAAATATAGTATGTAAATGGAAAGGGATTTATTTTCGTACATTGAAAAAACACCTTTGTAATATACAAATTTTTAACAATATACATCCAATAATATTTTTGTTAAATAAATAGTATTTTTATATCAGCTGAACCATTTTTTTCAATTGTTTAACTGTTTGTTAATTTGATCAATTTTTATTTTTTTAACAAAAATAATCGTTAAATGTACAACAAGCTATAATTCGTTTAATACAAAGTTTATTGACACTATATTGATTTTACTGGAGGATTTTTTCCAGGGAAAGGAGATTAAAATCTCCGTCCATTCGATCGCTATTGCTTAGACCCTAAAATCATGAAAATTATTTGCTTTGTAAATTAAACATATTTTTAGAGAAAGAGGCTAAATTTATTATAGCCTAAATAACTCAAACTCTGTATATAAAACAACCAAGATTACTTTGAATAAATTTATAAAAATACCCTACAAAATATAATTAATGAACTGATAAGTATTTATTTAACTTTTTAGAGCTGTGTTCATTTTAAAAACGATTTTGTTGTTCCATTCACATAAAAATATTTTTAATCAACAATATCCCTAATTTTATGTAATTATTACATTTTTTTTTAAACAATTTTATCTATTTATACATTAATGACTTTCTAAATTTATTAAATAGTTTTTGTTGTATAATATAATATGAAACAATTTTATGTTTCATTTATAAATATTTTATAATTCGGCTGTTTTAAAGAAAATTTATCTAATTGCGTCTTGTTTATAGATCATTTAACGTCTCCTATCAAAATTGTCAGCTTATAGATTCGTTTATTTTTGTTATCGTCAAATAATTACAGTAATTTTTCTCCGTTTCTAACATTATATTATAATTTTTTTTTACATGATAGTCGTCTGCCATTTTATATTAATCGATACAAAAAGTATTCTAACCACAAAAAAAACTTATTATAAAACATAAGCGATTATTACATTTAATTTGCTTTTGCTATCAAACAAGTAGCAACTTAATGATGAACTTAAAATCAACCCTCGCGGTGAGGAAATTAAGTTAAATCAATAATTTTTCTAATTTAATTTATTTTAAGAACATCAATTGTTCATAAAATTAGGTATCGTCAAAAATCTTGTAAGCGAAAATAATTTCAAAGAAAAATATCATAAGAAAAACTATTTAATTATCGAGTACACTAAATGATTAAGATTAATATCAAATAAAAATGTAGGATTGTTCGCGCAGTGTTTGTTTTACATTTATTTTGGGCTTTAAAAGAGTTAAGAGCAATCTTGGATTTTCATACAACGAAGTAGGTTCAAGCATTTATAAAAAATAGAATAATTATCTCTGTCGGTTTAATTCATGAATACTCAACTTATAAATTGTATTTTTTTGTTCACTTTAAACAATATAATAATATTCTATGAAATAAATGATTAATAATAATAATTTAATAAATGTAAAGTATTAAAAATATTTCAAATAATTCTTTTTAATATTGTTTAAATTTAAAGTAAGCTAAACAATTTAAAAACCTAATTCTTTTAAATTTATAACCGAAGTATTTGTGTATAAACATTTATATTTTAATTGACATTTTTTCTTCATCATCAGTATACTGGTGAACAATATAATATTAATTTACAGTGAGAGTGTTAATGGCTTTGGAAACTGTTAATTTTGAATCGTAACTAATACGGTTATCACAAATAAAATTGCCAAACTTATTTCTCAAGGAATAAGTATAAAATCATTACCACATATTTTTTTAACAAATCGCAAAGTCAAACAGACACGTACGACGAAAATTTATCGTAATACAATAAAAATAGTCGTACCAAGGACTTAAGCGCATCATTTCAGAAATGAAATTTACGTTTACTTAATATTTATTGTAATGTGAAAAAGTTCATACTACTCATTAAAATAAAAACTTTAAAATTAAGTAATTAAGTAATAGTTGAATTATATCAATCAGATGTGATTATAATTTTCTATTTTTAAAAAGAGTGAAGAACTGAATATTTTATATGTATTTTTCATAGGACCGTGTATATTTTTTATTCAAAGTGGTTTTAATGTGATTTGTTCTACACTTATGGTAACATAATATTTAGATAAGACATAGTATGAATTATGGTAGCGCATAAATATTTTATACTTTTATAATATAACAGTCAAATGAAATACATTTTAAAACGTATAATATAAGGCCACAGACGTTGGAAATAGTGTCTTATAAAATATCATGATTATAATAAAATTGTCTTGTCATAGGAAATGTTTAGTGAACAGTAATACCCAATGGAATAATTCAATACCTACGTTATATAAACGAGCTAGTAATCTGTATATTTCCATAAATACTGTAGTGTCGCTTTTATTTTTATTAGAGTTACATGGAATAAAGTTTTTTTATTAGTAAACGTTTTCAAGCCATATTGGGAATTTAGTTTTTATACCGAGATACGTTCGAGTGGGACGGATTTTTTTTTTATTTTCATTACTATTTCATGTCAAATCTATAATACGAATACGACAGTAATAACAAACGTGTTTCTAGTAAAAAAAAAAAAAAAAAAAACAAACGTGTTTCTAGTAAAAAAAAAAAAAAAAAAGAGAGAGACTAGCAGATGAAATAAATTGACATGATGATCTCCTGTTGTGGTTGTTCAGATCACAAGACGTGTCAACTCGCCTTCAAGGGGAAGGAACTTGGACAGTAAAGTGATTAGGCGATGGTAGGGGTACGAGTGTGGGTTAAAAATAAATTATTGCATATCACTTACACGTGAATCCTTTTGGACGGGACAGTGACTTAAGATGCAGCTGTATTAGGTTAATTTACTATACTAATTATCGTCGCTGTAATAGGTTTTAACAATTTTGTGGAATTGCGGTTGCACCGCGTTATTTTTGCTGACCACGTAGAAACTGTTTGGTTTGCCATTGTTGATAAATGATTTTTTGACAGGCTTGCCGGCGGGTTTGGGTTTATAATAAAGCGTTCGGCGTGGCAAAATTTTTGATGGGGATGGCTCGTAATCGATGGGAAAAACGTCGTTGCTCTTATATCGACCTTGTAAAGCTTTTTTAACAGTCGGCAAGTTCCAGTGGTACACTTTGGCGGGTTTACCATTCGACAAGAAACCCACTGGAATATTGTTGACGCTATTGGATGCGTGCTGTTGTTTGTGTGGGTGTTGGGTTTCATCGTAGAAATATGAATGCGGTGGCAATTTGACCATAAACAATTGCGAGTCCATACCTCCTTTTTCGCTAGCTGCGTATTTGCTTCTCGACTGACTAGCTAATCTTTTTCTGTGGTGGTTTATATTGGTCCACACTCGTTTCATGCCCAATCGACTAAGCAATTTGGCATTGTGCTGCTTGAAATTCGTCGATTTTCTCGTCTCTAACTTTTCTTCTTCCTCGACGTCTTCCACGCGATACCGACTTGCTGCTCGTCCATCTACAGTCGTTTTTGTTTCATCGTTATCTCCTTCCGACGTCAATTCCGTAGTATCGTTATCTTCCGTTTGTTTTTTAGGAGATGCTGAAGCAAAGTTCAACGTCGCCACCAACGCTAACGCGAACAGTAGGACTGCTATACTATTCATGCTTCCCTAGAAACAATTTCAAAGTCAATTAACAAAAATCTCTTTAAATGCTTTGATATGTTAATAGCAAATTATAAACAATTTTTAAAAAGAATAATTTATTAATAATTCCAACTTGAGGTATTACTAGTAAAATACCGTTAATTACACGCTATATGTTGATGATTTTACATTAGCATAATGTGATGTGAAGTTTTAAACTATACGCCGGCAATACTTAGGTTAAACGGCTAGTGTATCGTATTGTTATTGCAATTATTTTATTGTATGTTAACCGTTTCGTGTTTTACCCACAAACGTATTCAGCAGACACATGCACTTCTAACGGTTCAGCCATTGTAATATATTGAGCTATACGGCTAATTCAGGTGCAATTGACGATTCAGTTCTACATTTTTCTTTACCAAAGAAATATTCGATATAATAATGTAAAATGTCATTGCTAAGAATTTCTAGAATTTTCTCAGCGTTTTCTAGTCAAGGGAAATACGGTTAACATAATGTGCATGGTTTTTGCAGAATATACTTACTAAAATGTCCTGTCCCAGACTGAGATGAAACCGGCGTTCCAACGTACAACAACGGATGAGACCAAGAATAATATTACCATGTTGAATAAGTGTCAATACAGACTACAATGGTTTGGCGATGGCCTACTTCTAATTTATTCGCATCCCATCAAAGTCAAATACAAATGCTCGCCTACACCGACAACAACAGCTGCATTTCAATGTTTTAATGCAAAAGATACAACGACCAGACAGACAAGCTTCTGTAGAATTAATATCACGATTTAAATTTAAAGAGAATACCAAAGGTATAAAAGAGAAACACCCATGCGATGTCTAAAGTAAAAAAAAAATTTTAGACGAATCCATTGCAAATAACGTATTGTTTAAGTGGATGGGTAAATTACACAGTGTTTTTTTGCTATTATTATCGGTGTAAAAAACTTTTTTCTCGTATATTTCAGATACGCATTATGTCCTTTAGCTTAATTTTGTTCGACGATATTATTAATAGTAGCTATTAAAATTCACGAGAGTAATGAACGATTTTAGTATACAAAACTGTTTATTATAAGCGTTTACCGTTATGACGATGCTTTAGTCCGATCTTAGTATAATGCCTGCGGTGAATTTATGTCGAGGTCGATTTTAAATTATTTTAGGACCATAAATCTTGGTTTTTAGTACGAAAATAGTGAAACAATATAATATCTCGGGCTAGATCAGTGTGTACACACATTTTATACTTTATATTTGATTTTTTTATTATGGTGTTCGACAACTACTGTTAACGGGACAGTATTATTATCTGATGATGTTTCAACTGCAGCCGCCGCTTGATCATCCTGAGGGGCGTTCAAGTTATTAACCGCTATTAAGTTAGAGATTGATTATTTATTAGCACGTAATGTACAGTATCAACACGGTCAATATACCTAATTATAACTGACAAAGATTATTTTTTATCGCGTTTTTTTTTTATTGTTGCTTGCATTATTATTACTTAGGCCTAATACATTAAACGACCAGTTCATTAACATAATATAATATGTACAGTTCATTCGGAGGTCCGGATTATTTAAATTGGACATAAGTGTCTGCACAAAATGCAAAGGTAATTGAGAAAAACAATTTAAAATGCATTGTAAGACTTTTCACTTCTTTAATTGTTAAGCATTTTAATTCTTTAGTAGATGTTAGAAATAAAGCAGTTTTGGTAATTTTTTAAAATTGTGTAGTGGTCAGGTTTTGTGTGAGTGACATCAAACTATTTGAGGTGAAAAACAATTGAGAAATTATTTTAAGTAAATCGAGAGTGAAAATAACATTCTCAAACGAGAGAGAACTATAGGGAAAAACTGAGAGTAATTTTTTTTCAAAGCGACCGCTAAGCGTTAACATGGTAAAAGGAAAATTATATGTTTGTTATAATTATTGTCATTACACGAAAAGAAAATGAAAGAGTACACGATGAACGTTAACCGCCGCATCCTTGCGATGCATCAGGTGAAAGATGATTAGGCGAAAAATACATTCGATTTGGCAAGGATGTCTGGGTAAATGTTTCGCTTTTGTTTACAAAGAAAGTCACGGTCATTAGCACTGATAGGGGAAAGATAATACCGATGACTACGTTATTTCGTCGGTAATCGGTACACAGTAGTAAACGACTGTATACTTTCTACAAATGTATCAGTTCAGTCGATTTCGGGTCCTTTGTTCTACACGTACAATTGCTTTAGTTCTCTTTAGCAGAGTCTCGATTAACAAGATTCCGTGATACACGAAGCTGAATCAATGACGAAAAGGGTTAAATACAACAAGGAGTTGTACGTACACCCACAACAGATTGAGTTTATTATCGTCGTAAGAAGGTTGCAGTCTAAACGCAATGCCCAGAGCCTTAACCGTAGAACGATTTTTCACCCAACGCAGTACACATTTATGTATTTCGTCATTATGTATGTAAAGTGACTGATGGTGCACGAATACCTCAAGGAGTACAACGTGTATTTACACTGACACTATTCGAGCAGTAAACCAACTCGGTCGCGGCACTTGTACACAACGGCAATATGAGTCCTCTCGATCAAACGACGCCCGGGAAAAAACAAGTGCGTTCATTTAAAACGCTGGACAAAATAGCATTATTATCGCGTAAATTCGGATTCATTTGAAACGCATAAAACACATAAACACAATTCAATAGAATTTAATTAGGTTATCAACATTTTAGCTCTAAGTGAATATAACGGATTTTTTGTACAATCCGTCAAATCTACGCAAGCCTTATATTAGTTTTCAGCTAAATACCCAAAAAACTGGCCCAGGGATTAACCGTCCGGGACCCGATACAATATGGGTCATAGTTCTGTATTGTACACGTTTAATTCGCACGATTTTAGTTAATCTTGTGTAATGCTTATATTGAATCGTTTGTTATGCACAACAATTAAGCCAAGACAAAAGGAAAGATTATGATGCCGTTAAAAAATCTCAACAATATTTCATTGACAACCTATAACCCTACAAAATACTTAATTAACAATTTGGAAATTACATTGCATTATGATAATAAATACACAAATTATTACTACTGGATGTTAAATCACAAAGATGTTTATTCAAAGTTCACTATATTTGATAAATCAATTTTTTTGAAGAAATTGATAAAATTATCTAAGAAAAACATACTATAGTAGGATGCCGTATAACAAAAACGGTTTAAGGTACTAATAAAATATATCATATAAATTTGTAGGCTTGATTTTTAAAAACTAAAGTTATACTATACATATTTATAACTTTATTGTAAAACAATAATTTTGTTTACCTTTACAAATTTCATGGAGGTTTATACAAAAAATAATATTTAATGAAAAATACCGAATTTGTTTTGTTTTACATGTTTGCATTCGTTGGTCTGAGAAGGTTTAGTTCATGTTAATTATAAAAAATTCCTTAGTCCATTATTTTAGTACAAGTGCAAACATCTAATTTCCTTAATAGTTAAGTTTATAATTACTCAAAAAATATAAAACATTTTTTAGAGAAGGTGAAAAGGCTACAGACAAATATATACTGGACTGACACTAACATAAATGAATGTCAAAGTCAAGTGCATCGCAGCCGTTCAGTGCTGTCCCCTTCTTCAAAACAGCAAATGAATTAATTATTGGCGACGACGACAGCAACGACNGTCATTACCGGGTGGTGTACAAACTCACATGGCCAGTGCATCGCAGCCGTTCAGTGCTGTCCCCTTCTTCAAAACAGCAAATGAATTAATTATTGGCGACGACGACAGCAACGACTTTCCTTATACTAATATAGTGGCCAAACCGTTATTTTATGTCCTCGCGTACGCGAAACGTACTGATCCCGCGATGTCCTTGTACGGGGAAAACAAGGCTACGTAGGAGGGGTAAGTGCACTAGCGGCGGGTCGCCCGTTAGCCCGTCGTCAAAATACACAATAATCTGCACGCACGACATTACGAGTTATATCCGTCAATGTCCTCAGGCATTCCGAATCAGTAATCGGACGAACCATTGTCACGCGCCTCTCGTTCACTAGCACGAACGGGACTTGACGGCCTCATCGCTAATAGTAATTATTATGATGGTCGTTTGCCACGTTATTGTTCTTGCTGAATACATATGTGGAATGAAACGTGTGAAATCATAGCGTTGGTATGTTCGCGCACAATCGGTAAGCCGAAAAGGGGTAGTGATAGAAGCCATGGAATGTGCGTTTCATTCAGCCACAAATAACTGCGTTTGTACAACCCAAGACCGCTATGGAAATTTCGAAAATCGAACGATTGTCTTCCCGACGTTTTACGATTGTACAATTAGATTTAACGCAAACGCGCCATGACCGTCTGTCTTGCTGTCGTCTCATCGAAACATCGTCAGCTATAACAATAAAAAAACTTACAGCTTGAGAGGGTCAACGCTTGTAGCGTGCAGAATATCACAGGCGTATTGTACCGACAGAACGTTTCACGTTATTAAAACGCGGAACCGTCGCGAAAAAGACCACCGCAATTTAGCGCCATACTCGTAATAACATTACAATAGGCGGTACGAGGGGCAAAAACACTTACTCATTGCACAGCCGTCATCGTGTGATATCCGCATAGTAAAATATCATTTTTTTGTTGACTCGTGTCCGACGTGACAACAAGACCTTGAACGTACGTCTTCTTCAATAATCGGTAACTGCCGTATTAAATCTATGGAGCATCCCGAAATAATTCGGTTTTTTTTTTAACAAATGAAAAACATCATTTTTAGTACTATTACGCGCCAACGAGTAAGATGTATGCGATGGCACGTGTACCATTGACAGACATCATTTGACGGTAGTCGGAGATGAAATTATGGAAATAATCACCGTAAATAATTGCCCAAGGTGTCACACTAATTTACGGTTATTACCTTTTCAACTTAACCAGTTGATTATCTTTCTAATTAACTTTTAACTTAACTAGTT